ATCACTCTAGGTTATCAAGATCGATATCGGAATCGTCATCGTCGTCAAAGGCCTTTCGGGCGAACTGATCAGATGAAGAATAACCACACTAGCATTGCCTAACCCCCCATACCTTAATATTGCTAGCAGAACCATTTTGTTTTTCTACATGCTCTAACAGCTCCACCAAGGTGCCCTCATCTGAACAGTAGCCTCAGCTCAACGAGAACAACACCATGTTTATCCATCGGTAGACCCAGGTTCGGACCTCAGTACGTACCTATTCGTTGCTGCAGCCTGCCCGATTGAGCACTCTGTATAATGAGGTTTTCTACAGCGCGTTGCTTCTCCGGCTTAACAAGGCCGATACGGTTCACTGAGGGAAATGAAGTCGATGCTACCGGCCCATTGTCAATTACATCTTTCGAGAGCCTCTGGTTCCATCATGGAACGAACCGCCACTCGCCTGCGCTCCTCCATCGCCCTAAAGATACCAATGTTAAGACATGTAAGATTCAAAACAGGTCCAGTTGCCACGCGCTGAGTACTCTTTCTGCTGTTGCATCTCGGCCTGTCGCTGCTGTTGTTGCTGCTGTGACTCCATATTAGCAGCGTTTCGCATAGCCGATGCTTCCTCGTTAGCGTTCATGAGCAACACCACAACAATGAATCCAAACTGACCACCACATCTCTGCGATTCTCACCCACCAAAGCCCACCAAACACATCAGAGCCACCGAACCCAAGGGCGCGCGCTTTTATCAAGAAGATAGCGCACGCCCGAAACTCCGCAGACCTCGCCGCACTACGTCGAGTGGGGCAGCTATGCCACAAGCTCAAGACTCAGCCGGAATCTATTTCGCTGGTGGTCAGACCAGTTCAAAGGGAAGATATGCCATGGGCTGGTGACTAATCCCTGTTGGATCGAGGCATTGAAGTTGGTCAGTCAGAAGGCGAGAGTCATGAAGGATTCAGCGATGGCATATCTGCCCCTAGAGCGGAATTGGTTGGCCCATCGCGTCCTCCTACGAAATTGATATATTGGGGCTGTGGCATAGCCGCCCCGACCTACAAAATTGATCTTACGAGTAAGGTCTTCAGCCTCCGAAACGCTACCTTGCAGTGTCATTTACCCTCCCACCATGCTATGGTTCTTACTGCATAATCCCCCCTCAGACACTCTTCTTTTGTCCTATGGGGTCTTTTGAGATGTCCCTTTTTATCCCTCCATGCCCTCCTTCTGTCCTATGGGGTCTCTTGAGATGTCCTATTTTACCCCTCCATGTCCTCCTTCTGTCCTATGGGGTCTGTTGTGATGTCCTGTTTTATCCCTCCATGTCCTCCTTTTGTCCTATGGGGTCTGTTGTGATATCCATTTTTATTCCTCCATGCCCCCCTCATGTGGGGGCTCTTGGGATGGTATTTTTTATCCCTCCATACCCCCATCTTGTCCAATAGGGCCACTTGGGATGGTACTCTTCACCGTTCATGTCCCCGTCTTGTCGTATACTGTCTCGTGAGAATCCCTTTTCTACCCCTCCATGCACTCATCGTCTTGTAAGGTATCTTGAGAAGCTCTTCTCCTGAATGCTCGCCATTCGTCCTATAGATCCTTCCAAGACGTCTTCTTTCTCTTTCATGCCTCCCTCTCGTCCTCCCTCGGAAGGGATATCCCGTGACTACTTAGATGCCAAGGCGATCGCTTTTGCTACTGGCCCTTACTGGTTAAAGCTGTTGGTATCTAACGCTACAGCTGGCTCCCTAATAGGTCAGCATTCAGCCTACTACCTATCAGTAGTGACTTTATAGGTCCCCATGGGAGTAGGCTCAGTAAATTGGAGCTGGACACTTCCACTGTTATCCGCATTTCTCCCAAAGGACAGTTTTTCCCGACAACGCAAGAACGCGCAATGGTCATCGCTGCTAAGGATGGGTGATATAATACTCAAAATTTCATTTAAAAGTTCCCAGTCTCAGAGAAGGAGTCTCCAGAGCAGTCAGGCGAGTCTGTGGTACTATCCTCAAGCTAGGATGCCACTTGCAATCGAATCAACAATCTCGGAATCACCAGGAGGTCGTCTCCATCACCATTCGTTTAGCAGTCCCTAGTGAGTCCTCAGTCACTCCATCTCCAATAGACTAGATCTTGTCGCAGAGAGCAGCATCAACACCATCATTGGTCATGGTGGAGACTGCGCTCGGCGATTCGAGGCTAATACTGGCGTTGCACTGGTAGTGGGGGAGAGAATAGAAGGATGTCAGGAAAGGGTAAGGCCAAGAGGTATCGGTGTTCACCATTTCATGCATATAATAAAATCTCATGAGGATGTGTCAAGGGACGAAAATTATTATATCCATAGAGCATTGCAATCCTCATAAGAATAAACAGTCTTCCAGGTTGGTGCCGATTCCTTTTATTTCGTATCTATACTATAGTCGTAGTTCCCACTCCTCCCTCTCCTCTTCAGATCATGGACTTGTACGGTCCTCCAGAGCGCCTGGTCATAGCCGTCTGTGATCTCTCCGAGAACGTCCTGAAAACCCACCCACTTGTTCGTCGTCACTTAAGTGTACTATACAAGAGCGTGGAAGGGTAGTAATAAGCTCATGCTACGAGATGGTTATCGATCTTCTTTCAGGGCTTCTCCCGAATCCTCTAACCTTGCTGATGTCGCGATAAGAATATCATTCATGTTGTGCGTCTTTCCCGAAGTAAACGCCGCCCAAATAGGATGGGAATGCGGAGCACGGGTTGGATATCCCCCATTATCAGCATCCCTCGAGGTCTCACTAGGTTCACAGTATCACAACAACGCACGAGGGACCCATGCTGGAGCAGTGCTGTCGGGCGTTCATAGTAGAAGGTAGTAAGGAGGCACCAATCGTAGTGGGACACGACCGTTTAAGGTACCGTAACAGCCGTAACTCACGTCCATCGGAAGCTAGTAGCCCTGTCGGAGTTGTACAGTAGTTGTAGGGTTGGAGAGGAGGAGGGCGACCAAGCAGCTGTACATGGAGGATAAAGCAGTTGATTTTAATTGCCCCGTCTGCTGGGTGTTTTTTCCTCAACAAGTTCCACATCTCTGTATGCGGCATGCTATTCATGGGGTCACTTTCGTGGCCATTGATTTCTCTATAACAATTGTTTTGTTTCATTCGGGTTTTCTCTGGGGGGGGTTGTGAGATCTATATCGTGCTCTGCGTATTCCTCAACAACCATCCTCTTTGGATGACTCATCTATGCATTGTAGGCAAACGTCAAGGAAATGACTATGTGAATTCACGGGCAGTATTGGAATATTCGTTCGCTTCCTCAGCTGAGCTCTGAAGTTTCCTCGCTAATTATTGGAATTTACATACGAATTCGCGTAGAAGTGTACAGAAACCAACGAGAATTTCCTCCAAATTTATCTTATTGTCACCGAGACATGTAGTTGATTTACCGCATTTTTCGAGGGTGGGTGCAGGGATGACTTCTCCCGTTGTGTGACCATTGGTATCGTACGGAAGACTGAGCCGTATTTATCAATCTTATTGGAGTTTCACTCTAGTGATATGAAAAACACTATTGAAAAAAATATTTCACGACCACTGCATATCGCGTTTTCACCAAGTTTTATGCCAATTTACGTAAAACGGGTGAAGCTCTACTATTATGATTTCTGAAATTTGTACAGTTTTTTTCTGCGGGAATGTATATAAGTTAGAGCTCCAGGAAAGCTCGTAGGTTCTAAGCTGGTTGAGTAGTTTCTTTTCCTTCCTCTCGATGCCTAAAGTACGCACTCTCCGCTCGAAGAAAGCACCAGGTAGGTAAGTTTTCTTGAGTAGAATAGGAGGCTCTGATTTTCAGAGGGTTGGGATGAAATAGAAGCAACGTTGATGGAATTGGATAGGAAAATGAGGGATGCTGAAAACGAGCCTCATGAGGATAAGAGGAAAACGGAGCTCTTGTGGCCCATACACAAACTCAACCATCAACGGTCAAGGTACGTACGGTCTCAGGAGTTTTCTCACTATATACGACTTGGGGTAGAATTTTCTCAAAATTTTCACACTGGTGTGGTATGACAATTTGAGTCGCGGAGAATACCGATTTCAGATACGTGTTTGATATGTATTATAAAAAGAAGGCAATTTCGAAGGAGCTCTTCAGATATTGTCTCGAGGTGCGCTAGCTGCTTCGCTCCGCCTTTTTTGTATTTTTTATTCCCTTTTTAGGAGGGCTGGGCTGACAAGCAGTTGGTGTACAAGTGGCGAAAGCCTGGCTACGACCAGCTATGTTGCATGCTGTGTTGTCAGTCTACCAATCACAACCAGGTGAGAATCTTTGCTGACGCACGCTGAAGATTTTCCTACTGCTGCTGGTGGTGATAGGGAACGACGTGCATTTGCCGAGTACCACGAAGTCAACTTGGAGAAGGGAAAGTTGTGCAGTGTGCTCATTGTGGATGCAGAGGATGTGCATCTGGAGATCAATAAGACCGTATAATACAACACACGTTTGACGCTGAGACCTTGTTGGGTTCACAGTAAACCACCTAAACGTATAGTCTTGCGTCTTGGGCGAGTGTATTGAAAACTTGTAAGCCAGCTTCCGAACCACACGGACATAGTGAGTCCTTTACGTGACCATTCGAGTGGTTATCTCCTCACGAAGGTGAGTGAATCGACCCCTACGGCTCACGTTGCTCTGCTGCGAACTGTGTACCACGATGGTGGGATAAGTCTAGAATATATGTTCGCTCTCCTCAGCTGAGCTTGGGAGTTTCCTCACTAATCACAGGAACTCATATGTATACGAATGGGGAGAATACATACAATTCCCAAAATTTCATCGGAGTTCTCATATTGTCACCAACACATGTGAGAATTTTATCACACTACTTATAATCGTCGGGCGCTTGTATCAGGTCACTCAGCCATCAGCCTTACAAAGATGTACATTTTACAACTTTTTAGTATGTGACTATATGGTTGGCATGAGTGAACGTTGCTTGCTAGTTGGTATTTCCATCAACTCTACTTCTCCCTCAGCAGCTGCGTTGACAGAAATCCATCAAGCTATAGTCTGTGGCAACAAACCTTGTTGCATTAGTAGGTAGGAAAATAAACGCATCGGGTGCACACTTTATTAATACGGGCTCGTTTGAGGTATGGAAAATAACAATATTGGAGTTTCACCCGTTTAACGTGAAGTGGCGTAATACATGATGTAAATTATACGGCATGGAGGTTTCTGCGATCGATAACAAAAATATATTTTCCATTAGTGTTTTTCATGTCACAGGTGAAACTCCAATGTACTGCATGGTTTTAGCATCCGAAGTCGCATTCAAATCATCTTCCATAATCGACGAAATACTTCTCATCCATGCAGTATCCTGACACTCGATAGTTTTCGATAGAGGAGAAACGTGTACACATATCTCCACATTCGGGTACTCATATTAGGGAATTTGCTCCTCCAGGACATCGACGGCAATGGGAAAGTGTGCAGTCGTGTTGAACGATACCTTAACGATAGTTTCTTCATCATGATCAAAATCTCCGTCGTTGGCATGCTCAGCTTCTAACTTCGCAAGTTCTGGGCAAACAACCGCACACCTTCGTGGCTTTCTTCATCACAGTCATTGCCATCCGATTCATCTCTGCTGCTGAGTGTACATGCGGAACTTTCAATGTCTTTCCTCGTTGCTCATGTTGTTGCTTTTATAGAACTTGGCAGAAAATTATGTACTCCGATTATTATGTTGAATCGGTGATTTGACCGCTCTTGAACAATCATTGATCATTTTAATCATCTCACACTTTTCTACTGTGTAATCTTCAACCTTTATCATCTACTGTTGAAAGAAATTTCTTTTTTCTAGTTATTCAGTTGCAGTGTGTTGAACAGTAACGGTAGTGTTACATGTAAATGACGAAAACTTCAAATGGTGATCGTTCGCATTGAATCAGCCCAAAGCACATCAGAAATAATACATTCAACAGCATGTCGTATAACGCAGCTGTCAAGAAAACTCTTTGAGTTACCTCATAGTGTACATCTCACTATTGTTAAGAAGGAAGCACGTCCTTCAACTGTCGGAAAACTCGAATCCATATTCAAAACAGAGAAAGCAATTCGCTACACTAAACACCACCAAATGCTTTCTGGTCGTGATACGCCACAGATCTTCGAAGGAAAGTCAGCCAGGACTGCTGGTCAACTTCTTCTTCTTGTGAACTACACCCGAGTGATGCCGTACAAAAAACACTCCGCGATGTGGAAGTATCACCTCCTGAGCATGGAATAAATAATAAAGAGCGCATCCGTCCACTTACGGAGGAGTTTGTTACGCACTGTGAACATGGTTTCTCGAGCGGTTGTATCACTGCCGCTCACGCCGCTCATCCAGCGAGGCAAGGACTCGCCTGAAACACCCACAAGAGTTGCATTATGATATTATTCGCCTTCTTCAGCTGAGTTGTTTACATATGTACGAATTCTGGTAGAAATATACCGATTTTCCCCCTACAATTTTCACAATGTCACCAACATATGCAGTTGTCCGTATGCATACTAATCGAGAGTTTTCTCACCAACAAGAAATCTGTCCACGTAAGTTGGTGGTAGAGGTAACGGCGCTTCCTCGTCACTCCATCGCTCCTCAGTACGCCGGCCTTTTTCGTTGGCGACAACCATGAGGGGACAGACGCCAGTGAGTACGTCTTCTTTAGTGCTGTTGTTTACATCGAATGTACTTTGAGTGCGATCTCGGGTAGGAGAGGAAACAGGTTGAAGGCTGAAAATTATTTGATAACGTAAAAGTTGCATAAACATCAACCTACCTGGTGTCTAGTGGATGGACGAAATCGAACAGCCATCCAGTGAGGGCGCTACGAGTTGAAGAACGAGTGGTATCGAAAATTAATACCACCCCGTCTGCAGAGGACTCTGGCGTTGCGACCAGGTCCAAGGTAAGTTCTGATTGGCAATCGAGTATCCAGAATTCGATGAACACCTATATGAACATTTACTAGCCTAGCACGAGCAGTATGGAAAAATACGCAACTACATGTGTTGATGACAATTGTGAGGAAATTTTGGTAATTCTTTTTTTGTTTCTATACACTTCTACCTGAATTCACATGTGAACTGCTATAATGAGTGAGGAAACTCTTGAGCTCAGCTGAGGAAAGTGAACATATATTCCTCCACGTTACTTCACGTAGTGTTCCGTCGGGCATCGCAACTGTTTGCCGTCCTACTTCGACTTTGGGAGCGTTCGAGGGTCCTTCAGTGGTCACTCCCAAAAATGATCTCTCATCATCTTTGGTGCAAAGGGCTCTGCAATAGAATTGGAATATTCTGCTATTTCATATGTCACCTGCATAATGATGATCTTCCTGTTCCTGGAGCACCCGCGACTAGGATGCGTAGATTGACAGGCTGTTGTTCGCCTATAGCAATGCGTGAAGTAGTGAGTTGCGGTAATTCATATTCGACCGGATTCACACCGGTATAAGGATGATTCTCAATAGAAGAGTGCGCGCGATGACGTGTTGGCCATATTGATGATACAAACTTCATTAGTAGTTGATGAAGATTAGTTGCACGAAAGATTTCTCATTTTAGGGCGCGCGCGTAATTTCACGGCGCGTGACAAGTTTGTAAGTGCAACTGTCAGACACACCAGACACCAATGATAACCCTTGTTGTTTTAGAGCTCCTTTTTTGAGTGAATGCTGTCGAGACTGCTACCCGTGTCACCATCCTCCACTACACTACTACTTGGTTCTGGTTCTAAGCTTGCCAGATGCCTAGGCCCTGCTTTGTCCCGTTGTTTTTCGGCTCAGCCGGGTGCTGCTGTTGCCAAGACTGAGGGGAAAAGTGAGTTTATGGTAGATGTACATCCTACTGTGTTGTTGTTGGTTATGTTTTTAATGGTGTGTAAGAAACTTTTCTCGTTTTTTTCGTTAAGTTATTTTTTGTGTAATTTTTGGGTGTCCCTTTATGTGGTTAAAGGTATTATATAATTGTTGTTATTCACTAATGAGGCAATCTCGATTGGTATCCTACGTGCGGGGGTATCTTGAGGTTGAGCGTGTAAGATTCAAAATAGGTCCGATTCCATACCGCCCTGCATTTGGCCTTAGCGCGCTTTAGCTTAATTCCGAAGCGCAATTCAGTGTTTGAAATTTTTCCCTTTTTTGTGAGGTACCATCCAAGGAACCTCTTACAATGTGGTGAAGTTCCAACAAGAAGATGTGAGCGAAGTCGTGAAAGAAGTTCCGCATTTTCAGTAGGAGTTTTTCACCCCTGTTTTTACTGTTTTTATTATTCGTCTCAGATTTTACTACATTGGTGGCGAACACAAGGATAACAAGTATAGGGATGTTCCCCTTGATATTCCCGTGCTCACCGAGACTCCTGTGAGTGCTTATTCCTGTTGTATTGCATCGTTAGGTTGTTTTTTGGTAGCCTCCTCAGATCAAGAAGCCCGAGATGAAGTTCTCCGTCCTCGAAAACGGCATGCGGATCGTCTCTGTAGACAAACAAGGGGTAATTGCTTTTTTTCTCAATGGTGATTTCATACCACTCTTCAGCTAACTTCCAACCTTGGACTTTTCGTGCATGCCGGTTCTCGCTTCGAAACTCCAGCTGAAGAAGGTCTCTCCCATATGGTTGAGTGCGTGGCATTCAGGTAGCTGCTATCGGAAATTTATTTTACTAGTCATTTCACTCAGGTCTACTGCCCATCTGTCGCATCTGAGAACTATCAAGACTATTGAGGTTCTTGGTATGAACGGTGGCTGCCAGGCGGGTCGTGAACATATTATGTATAACTTGGAGCTCTTGAGAGAGTATATGCCGGTAGCGAGTACTCTCGTGGTTGGAAATGTGCTCTTTCCTCGACTACTGCCCTGGGAGGTCAACGCATGCCATAAGGAAATCAAAAAGGTAAGTAGATGGTAGCTGTTGTTTTGTTGTTATTGTTGTTGTTAGGCACATGAGAGACTGAAGGCTGATACTGATCAGTATGTTTCGGAGTTGCTGCATCAAACGGCATATCACAACAACACTCTGGGGAATGCCTTGCTGGCTAACGAGGGGAGGTAGGTGTTGATAGTAGTAGTATTACTACTGTTATTACTACTGTTATTACTACTGTTATTACTACTGTTATTACTACTGTTATTACTACTGTTATTACTACTTTTATTACTACTGTTATTACTACTGTTATTACTACTGTTATTACTACTGTTATTACTACTGTTACTACTACTGTTATTACTACTGTTATTACTACTGTTACTACTACTGTTATTACTACTGTTATCACTACTGTTACTACTACTGTTATTACTACTGTTATTACTACTGTTATTACTACTGTTATTACTACTGTTATTACTACTGTTACTACTACTGTTATTACTACTGTTATTACTACTGTTATTACTACTGTTATTACTACTGTTATTACTACTGTTATTAGTTATTACTACTGTTATCGATTTGTTCTCAGGGCGCTCGAGCATTTCACTGGCGATAACATCAGGGAGTTTATGATGAAGCATTTCTCAGCGGAGCGAAGCGTCTTTGTTGGCATTAACGTTGACCATGATGAGCTCTGCAAGTGGCTGATGAGAAGTTTCGCCGAATGTACGTTTTTGGGCCTACTTTGTATCTTTTGGTATCTTTTGAGTAGATGTTGCTATCCCCAACCTTCCTCGAGACGAGGCCAAGCCTGTCTATACTGGTGGGTACAAGCTGGAAGAGAACGCCGACATGCCTGTATGCAACATTGCTATTGGTTTCGAGACCGAGGGATGGAATTCGGCAGACCTAGTGCCCGTGACGGTCCTACAAACGCTCCTTGGTAAGAGGGAATTAATTGTGTTATTGATATCGTTTGTGATCTAGGTGGCGGCGGATCGTTCTCTACAGGGGGCCCGGGAAAAGGAATGCACTCGAGACTTTACCTTAACGTGTTGAATCAGAACCCTAACGTGGAGAGTTGCATGGCCTTCAATACTCAGTAAGTAGTTTTTGGCAATACCACTAGGGGAATGCGGTGTTGGAGTATATGTTCGTGTTCTCAGTTGAGCTCAGAACTATCCTCACTAGTTGTTGAAAACTGTTCGGGTAGAATTTCAATTGCATATTGTCCTCCACTCGTAGTTGATGATGTGCATATTTGACAGATACTCAGATTCGGGTCTGTTCGGAATGTATATCACAGGCTTCGGCCAGGAGGCTCCGAGGTTGGTAGATATTGCTCTCAACGAGTTGCGCAAATTGGTAAGAGTAAAACGACGTTGTTTGTTGGTGTGAATGTTAATCGTAGGACTCGTTTACACCGGACGAAGTCAGTCGGGCTAAAAACACGCTGAAGGGAAATATATTTATGAACGCGGAGAATTCAAAAGTGTTGATGGAAGATATAGGGAGACAGATAATTATGAGTGGAAAAGTAGGAAATACAGTAGTTCGTTTTGGACATAGTTGTGGTGACAGGTGGTGACACCGGAGGAATTCGCCGCTCGAGTGGATGCTGTGACCGAAGCTGATCTGAAGAAAGTCGCTGCTAAGTTGCTAAGGAAAAACCCAACCTATGTTGTCTATGGTGACACTAAGTAGGTTTAGGAGTGGGGAAATATGGTTATGGTAAACGACATGTGTTGGTGACAATATTTTTTTGGAAAATTCTGGTTGGTTTTTGTAGATGTTCATCCTAGTTTGTATGTAAACTCCTATAATTAGCTCTGGAAACTCCTAGGGTCAGCTGAGGAAAGAGAATATATATTCCTCCAACACTTGGTGATGTTTCACTTCAGGTCGGCCCCGCACTATGAGTATGTAAGAACAGCGTTGGCGAGCTTGTCAGCGGCTAAGGGGAAATAATTTTGTGGCGCGGTGACGATTTTTCATTTCCTTCTATTACTACTACTACATCTCTGTCGGAGGCAGAGTCGTTATGATGCGATTTCGGTTGGAATTTTATCGAGCTGTGTTTCGCTCCGCTGTTTATTGCCCTTTTTTAGTACTACTTCTTATTTGTTAAGACTCTCGTTATGGTAGCGAATAAAATTGCCAAGAAAGGCGACCTCCATGTTGCCATCATCGGTGATGAGGAAACTGTCTCTGGGTTTAGCCTGGCAGGTGCCGGTATGCGCGATGGAAACGGCGTGACCAACTTTCTAGTAGTTGACGCTAGTAAGAATAACTCCTCGTAAGTGGTAGTGTGATTATTTTATGATTAGAGACCCGACGTAACGACATTGAGGAGGCTTTCAAGACCTTCGTAGAGCGTCCTGATATCGCGATTGTCATCATCAACCAGCCGATAGCTGAGCAGATCCGCCATGTCGTGCGTAAGTACACCAGTAGCGGCTCGGCTATCCCAGCAGTTCTCGAGATCCCTAGTAAGGAATCTCCTTATAACCCAGCACAGGTAGTAGTAGTAGTTGCCTTTTGTAGTGAAGTTGTTATTGTTGTATTTTAGGACTCCATCATGCAACGTGTGCAGATGTTCTTTGGCCAGGCCTAGTCAGCAGCACCACCATTCACAATTGGTGTTCACTGTGATGGCTTTCGACAGTCCTTAGTGGTGTTGGAAGTCTCAGGAGAGTTGGATGAGTTTTCCTTGATCATAATAAGGAGGTTTTGTTGGAGTATAAATGACAGTTGTGGGATTCGACCCAGGGTGTGTTTCGGAGTACAGGTGTATAGGTAAGCGTAGATGTGTATTAGGGAATCATTTGCCTTGGAGAGATAACGTTTGCAAAATGTCCACATCTGGGCGCTTCGGTTCAACACACTTCAGCAAGTGCTTACGTCGTCGCAATTGGTTTTCAATAATTGTTCGCCTCTAACACAGCTCAACAAAATGCGGTGACACTTACATTGGAAACTGATTGAAGAATGTGTTCCTAGCCATACGTGGAGAATTGAAAATGAATCTCCCCCCGGAAGACTCTAGGTTTGATGTGTATTAGTATTCCGATGATCGTCATCGGGTAGCGGCAAGACAACATGAGGTCTATTATGAAGTGTGGAAGGAGTGGTGGTTAAGAATTACAATCCCAAGTTGATTACGGAATCGCTGAATTGAATGCTATCACATATTTGGTAATAACGGTTCGAAATTAGGGGTGTGTTTCTTCAGTAGTCAACTGACACGTGGTAAAATCGAACTAGATAAGGAGCCAGCGAAAAACTATACTGTAACACGTTATCTTAGTTCCTGTCGCTGCTATGTGCAGCTGTGAATGTTAAGAAAAGAGAGATTTGGAATGCCCTCTATGAGATCTATTATATTTGAATAACACACATCTCAAGAGGGAGACGATGTCAGGAAAGTCTTCAGAGTTCATCAGAAGTATGTGTGTGTTGGGGAGTAGAGAGCGGCGACTTTGACGTTTTCGAGGATTATGGACGACCGGAGTGGTTTCTGACACGATAATATTATTAATCCTATATATTAATACATCGTAATATGGATATCCTATTTGATATCCGTCACCAGTTCGGGTTGACAACACCGATTAATCGAGGAAAGGAAGGTACAGAGATGGAGAACAGCAGGATGATACCTGTGAATGCGCACACTTATATCGTCGGGGAAGGAGGAGCAGTTGTCTAGGATTCAAAGCCACCAGCTGAGTTGGAAAATTGGTTGCCACAGTTTCACGACCCGTTTAACGTGAAGTGATGTAATACTTGATGTTAACTTAGTTTCCGCGACCGATAACACAGTTCTTTTCTGAGATGTGTTTTCAATATCACCGGTGAAACTCCATCATAGGTGAAATAATTTCCCTGAGCGTTTCTCCTCCGTATGTGATGACTGCCTCGACACCATCATCATCATCTCGACTGTCTCGTCTCGAGGGCCGGATCGCCGAGTCCATACCACTCCAACTGCAAGCTAACCAAGAAATGGCCGAGGAAATCGTGCGCGTGCGTGCAGAAAATCGACGATTGCGTTGCGAAAATGCGGAACTAAAAGCAATGACGGTTGAGGGTAGCGAAAACGTCTTTAAGGAAGTTCGAATACTCCGTGAGGAAAACGCAATACTACGGCGTCGATGTCAACTACGCAGTCGCTCCCCCACCCCAGTTGGTGTTTGCTTTGATAAAGAGATCAGCAGTAGATGCGAGTCTTCGAGAGGAAGATCGCCCTCGGCGGTAGCTCGACTGCATGAGGGGTATAGGCATGCTGCTGAGTATGTTGCGGCTAAGTGGCGACCACCGTCATGATGTATTGTGTAAAATGTCTCCTATTGGATAGTCTATGTTGACTTCTCTTCGATTTGGATTTTCGTCAGTCTTTGTATGCGGCAGATTTTGGTATGTTGTTGTGCACATGGAGTTTTCAAAAACGACATTGATGGTATCCAAATGTAAAGAACCTCAGAGGCTACCCAGTGTGGCACACGACCTCTAGATCGTTTTAGACCTCACCAGGAGTAGTTTTTACTATTTCTTCCATCGCCTCGATGCTGGAATTGACGGCCTGCCCATGGAGTGATCAACATCCCCTCATTACTCCTTCAATGCGCCTCGTATGATGATCTCCTTAGCTCATGGACTCAATCATCTCATCGGGGTTCGACTGAAGTGCGAACGATGCTCCTAGTGAGATGACATTGCATTGAAGAATTCACAGGTAACCGTTTGTGCGATTGATGATTTTTCTACCTCACTGAAGATATTAAACCTCACTCTCTTGGTCGTATGATTGTGGAATGTTCATCACGTGATTCGATGCTCTCTCGTGAGGTCACAGTCTATATCTGTGTCTCGGCTGCTATCACCAGTCTGGTAAAGTAGAGATTCCGCCGTTGCCCATTTGCCTTCCTTACTCAAGATTTCTATGGAAGCGCAGAGCACATTACCTGCTGGACCTTATGGCTTTGTGAT